TATATATGTATATATAAATATATTTATATATGTATATAATTTTAAAAATTTTATAAACATGTTTATATATATGTATAATTTTTATGAATATATATCATTTTAAAAATTTTATTTTTATTTTTATTATTTTATTTTTATTTTTTTATTAATTAATATTATTAAATATTAGGGATTGATGATGTGGCAGATGACTAGGATGTCATGTCAGCATTAAATAATATTATTTTTTGTTCAGGGTTTTATTTGCCAATTTTTAAAAGTATAGAGTTTTAATTGCCAATTTTCAAAAGTACAATGTTTTTTTGGATAAAAAAAAAGTACAGGGTTTAAATTGCGACGAGAGAAAAGTACAGGGTTTTAAATGGAATTATCCCTTTTTTTATTGATTGCTTCAGGTTTTGGTTATTCCATTCTTTGTTTTCTTCCTAACTGCTAAATTCACTCGAAAGTATATATTTTTTTTTAAATAAAACTCGAAAGTATATTTTACCTACATACATATCATATGATGACAATACATATAAATCTTCCCTCTTGAGAATTTCTTTTAATCTTCGGAAGAACAATATGTTTCCAAGAAACACATATTATTTTAATTATTTATTGGTCTACAAAATCATTTACTGGTTAATTTGGCAGACATTATTTCTCTGCTGTTTTTTTTCTCTTTATTATACTTTACATTTTTTATTTACTCATGCCACCTTTTTCGGGTTTGGTAGTAGGATTCCTTCCTTGCGTTGTTTAAAGAGTAAAGAGAGTACGATTTCCTTCATTCATTGCTTCAAGGTTTTGGTTATTCCATCCTTAGGGTGGGAAACAAATTATAAAATTTCCCTATTAGAATTGTGTCAAGTTTTTTTATTCATGGCAGCTTCCCGAAAGGCACAACAATACTATTTAGTCTTGCATGATGAACATGATATAAATCATTGGGAGAACAATGTATCAAGGAAAGAAATTACACACAGTACAACCATCACGATTGTTTCTTCTCTTCCATTCTTCATTTTTTCCATAAATAAATATAAAAAAAATATATGGTAGAGATTCAGCATTTTGCACATCACTGTACCTCGTCCTTGTCGGAGACAGCAGGGATCGATGGAACATGCAGCTTGTGTTTCAAAGAAACATCCATTCATTACACTTGCCATGCCTGTGGCTTTGAACTCTGTAAGTCTTGTTTCAAGCTCTCTGATACAAAGTTAACTCACGGTCTTCATCCTCAGCATCTTTTACATTTCCATCTCCGTCAATCCGATGAAAAACCTCAATCATTCGTATGTTGTGGATGTGGGTTCGTCTCCGCCGGATCTTACTACGAATGTAAAGAGTGTGAGATCAAGATTGATCTCGAGTGCATTTCCAAGGAAATCGCTCGAGAATGGGAAGAGAAATCGATATACCATTACAGCCATAGGCACATGCTCCGCTTGTGTAGGCTCGGAGCGGATTTCAGCAGTTCTTGCCTGATGTGTGACGGTGATGTGTCCTGCACGACAAGATGTTATGGTTGTGTTTATTGTCTATACTTTATCCATGAATGGTGTATTGATCTTCCACGGGAGATTCGACATCCCGTTCACCCGCCTCATTCTCTGAGGCGCCTTAACTACGTTCAGCATGGAGAACGTAAAATCATTTGCAATGCTTGCCAAGATATGATCTATGGAATTCCCTTTGGTTGCATAGAATGCAAATTTAACCTCCACATAGAGTGTGCTGATTCTCTGTTACGTGGTTTGGAGCACGAGTCTCACTCGCACGCTCTGTTTTATGTGGCTAGAAATGCTTTATACGCATTCACCAGGGAAAAACCCTGCCACATATGCAAGAGTTCTGGAAAGTACTTCAAGAACTCATACTACCGTTGTGTGAAATGCGATTTGAACTTCCATTTAGAGTGTCTAAAGCTACCGAGTCTTCTCTCGAGTAGATCTCGCCACCCGCACCCTCTTTGGTGCAAAACGTTTGACGAGTCTTGCGACAACCATTGCGAATTTTGCGAGACAGTGATTAGCGATGGAAGTCATGCTTACTACTGCAAGGAATGCGAGTTTTATGCCCATGTCGAATGCATTTTTCGCAAGGTGACAAGAACTTTAATAAAATGTTACATTCGTTAATTAGAAGTTACTTACTTTGTTCACTAACTAATACTCAATCAAAATTTATAGGAAAAGCCCTCACCAATGTACTTGCGAAGTTTATATTCTTACGATGCTGAAGATGTGTCAAGAGGGAATGAAGGAACTGATGGAGGGTCCTACAGCGGCGACACGGATGGAGACCAGCTAAAGGTACGTTACGTTGTATGTCCTTAGAACCTTTGGTCGCTCTGTCCTTTTTTAAATCATCGATGAAAATATAAACTGCGATAATTTTCTTGATTTCAAATGTGTTATGCAGATTTTTGATGTCACGCACACTCATATGTTGCAACGTTTTGATGACATGGGGGGCGTTTCCAACACATCTTGCTCGGTGTGTAAACATAAACTAGACATCCGGGCGTATAGATGCGTGTTTCATGTGTCGGGAAAATGCGAATTTGTGGCACATGAAGCATGCGCGAAACTTGGACAACAATCAACACGTAGGTTTCATAGGAGCCACCCTCTCACGCTCCTGCCAGTACCTCCGGCGCAGAACATGGAATGCGATATGTGCAAAAAAGCTTTCAAGGATTTCAATCTGTTCTGTCGCACATGCGATTATGTCATCTGTCTGAGATGCGCGAGAGGAGATACAAGGTTGGTGCAGAAAGTGGCAAGAGGGAAGAAAACATGCATGGCTGGTCATAACTTGGTTCAATTCTTCGAAAGGTCAAAACCGGTCGATTGCAGTATATGTGATGAGATTGTGCATGGAAAAGGCTCGGCATGTCCCCAATGCGAAGAAACATATCACGACCAATGTCTTCAACTCGTGGGACAAAGTGTGGTCCGCCCATCACATTCGCCCTATCATTCCCTCTACCTTCGGGGATCGAATGGAGGAATGCGTTGCGCAGATTGCAGACGAAAGGTTCGTAACTACGGGTATATATGTACCGATGATCCGTGTATGTGGGGGCCCATTTTTTACCACGTGAAGTGCCCCGAGGCAACGCTAGAGGTCGAATGTCACGAACACAATCTCCGTTGCTTCAGGGCTCATATCGATCAGAGCGGCTCAATAACGAATCTGGAATGCAACGCTTGTAGGAAGCCGTGTAACGTTGATTGCTTCTACGGATGCGAGAAGTGTAGCTTAAGCTACCATGTGGAGTGCCTTGGATTGCTGGTTCACGCTAAGTACAAGGAGTTTTTCTGGCATATCATGAGGCTCAGATATTCATTGACCGACATGCCAAGTAGTCTCAGATGTGACAGGTGTAAGTCTCCTTTTGATCCAGTGGGTCCTGCTTATAAATGTGAACTCTGCGATTGTGCTCTACACTTGGAATGCTTGCTCCCTCTGGTATAAGACCATTAATCTTTGATATATATATCTATATATGTATGTATATGAACCTATTTAATCTTCTTTCTATCGTTTGATTAAAATGATTAACCTAGGATAAGGATGACATAGCTCTGACAAGAGAGGAGCGTGATCTTGAGCTCGTGAAATCGCTAAAGGTGTACGATCGAGAGACTCAGGTTTGATGCTTCTCATTGATCCATACGGAAAATGTTTTTGAAGTATATACTCTTATCAAAGCACTTTCTCATGCATGGTAGAATTTACGTGCGTGCATGTGCACGTGCATGAATCATCTTCTTTTGTTTTTCCATTGCCTTTGATTTAAAAATATTGCCCCCTCCTTCCTATCCATGCAGAAAGACTATTGCACGAAAGATGTGCTTGATCGAAGAGACGTGTCTGAAAGGATCTCGGCACTTGAAAAATCAGAATTCTTAATGCACCTTCATGCAGAATGTGAGGCTAATTGGAACGCCACAGTTACCAAGTCAGATTTCTTACGGGCACTACTTAAGGTACGTCTGCATGTACGGAAATTAAGCTAATATTGCTTACTCACTAATTGCTGTTTAATGTCAACCGTTAAGGAACAAGAACAAAAACTCAACAGGGCTACAATTTCTTTAACGGTTAACATTAATGTGAAAACATTGGTTTATGTTTTCATTACAGTTATATAGTTTTGAATTCCTAAAAAAAATGGTTTATGTTTTAGCGTATGCTTCCGGTTTCGTAATTTGTCAATAATTAACCCTCTCGTGTCTTTCAGGGAGGCTCGAAAATGAGACATGTCGAAGAAGCGTGAGTTCCAATTGCTCTTGACACTAAACCCGTCAAATATAATCTTTCAGAAAATACTCTTAACTAGACATTATTACGATCCTAATGTCAAAAATTTGCGAAATAAGTTAAATTTGGATAGTTCAACTGGTCAAATAGGTGCGCAAAGCGTTTGTCACGTATCGAGTTCGAACTTCAAATTTGGAGAATGAACGTATAATCCAAATCAGATGAATGGCTCCCGACCTCAAAATTAGTCTGGGTTTAGGTTCAGGTTACCCGATTAACCAAAAATAAAAATTTGCGAAATAAAGTGATATTGTATTATTGATAATCAAATGAGTTTAGTTTTCTAACAATAGAACTCTTTATTCTTATCCTAGTGATAAGAATATATAAATCCAATGTAAATAGGAAGCTGATATCTAAACTCTATACAATTTAAATTTACTAATATTTTCCAGGTTCAATTTTTTGGTTTAGTCGATGTTAATTTAACGTTGGGGCTTCTATATATTTTGTCGGAAAGTGATACTCTATTAAAAAAAAAATGTAAGGTTGCTTCTAATGTGTACAAACAAATCAGAAAGAAGAAGCAAGAGCTTCAACGTTATGATAGGTTCCCTATCATATCAATAATTGGAATATATTGGATTTTCATTTTGTAGGGTAGATATAGGGACTTCTAACCAAGCCGGAGAGAACGATGAGACGGATCATTCGGAATCTTCTTTGGAGAGCGGTGATGAAACAAACCATTCCGAATCTTCTTTCGAGAACCATTCGGAACAATTTCCGGAGAACCATGACGAGTCCGATCATACGGAAGCTCCTTTGGAGAGTCGGGACGGGTCGAATCATACAAGGAGACAAGATCACGAACCGAATCAATCAGAAGATCCTTTGGAGAGTCGGGATGAGCCGAACGATACAAAGTGGAGACAGGATGAACCGGAGCATTTTGAAGATTCTTTAGAGCGTCAAGATGGATCGGAGATTCATTTGGTAAGCGAGAACGAGGAAAATAATATGGAAAGACGGGAGGAGCCGGATCATACAAAGAGACGAGATCATGAACCGAATCATTTGGAAGATCCTTTGGATAGAAGGGACGAGCCGAGTCTTCTTGAAGATTCTTTAGAGAATCGGGATGAGTTGGAAAGCGAGAACGAGGAAAACAATATGGAAGAGATTCGGGACGAACACGATCATTCGAATAAGCATGAAGCACCGTTAGAAAGCCAAGGCGAATCTGATCATAAAGATGGTTCTTCAGACGAGCTGAATCGTCGTTCGGAAGCCCCTTTGATGAACAGGATGGGCCGAAGCATTCGTAAGCTCTTTCGGAGGTTGTTTTAGCCATAAGACTAGGTAACAAGCTTAAAAAATTGAGGGCAAGCAACATTATAACACGTGTCCAATCTTAATGAACAAGCTTAATTCCGACAAAACCGTGGATGGATCGAGGTGTTTCGGTAATGTTCTGGAATGTTACAGGATGATCAGTGGGGAAGAAGAACTAAGGAGGAGGGGGAGAAGGTTCGAAAACTGGAGAAAATCACAAGCATCAGGGTTTCGAATGCTCTTTTAAATTTTGTTTTTGTAGAATGATGCGAATTTCCTTCTGGAACCAGGGAAGCATCTATCTACACGCAAAGTCGGAATATCATTCCGTACTTGTGTTCGTATAAGTATATATGCCATGTCGCATATATCATCATCATCATCATCATCATCATCATCATCATCATCATCATCATCATCATCATCATCAAAAGTTTCGAATCAGGTTATCTCAATCCAAACGTTAGCCATCATTTGTTTCAACCTGCTTTATAAGATGCGGCTGTAACGAAGAAAGAAAAACTATGATCGATGGAAATGCTGCAGAGATTACAGCACACAAAACAAAACATTGATTTAGAGAAATCAAAACTAAAAAAAAAAAACAGAGGAGCCTCGTTTCTCCTCTTTTCAATCTCTCTCTATGTATACAAACTAGAGAATTCCTCGTTATCTCTCAATCCCCTCACCAACCGGTACAGTTAAGCCGTTAGTCCAGCTTCTCTGAGAGTAGATGTGGGTCAACCGGTTTACGAGTTGGTAAACCGGTTTACTTACTGAAATTCTCTTATCCTATTCGAGGTTATAGTTAGAAACAGAGATGTCGGCTGGAGACGCCGAGTGGATATAGACGAATTCCATGCTTTTGCCAGCCGGTAAGGATTGGATCCATGCCGGAAAGCCGTAAGAATCTCCGTTTTTGGTTAGACCCCAAATCGGGCCGTGGAGCTTGCTGATTGATATCTTCAGATTCTTCAGTGTTTTCAGAGATTTATTAGTCAATATCGTCGAGTATCGGTAGTGGATTATCCCTTTGTAACTCCATGATATGGTCATCTTCTGTGATATGGTAACCGGGACAGAAGAAGCTGCAAAACAAAACAAGAATGGTCAATTTGTTGTGCCAAATAGAACTGGTTTTCAAGTTGAGGTCATTATGAATTTCTTTTCCAAATTAGCGAAGAATTGAATAAATTCACCAAATGATTCGAAAGAAAATCGCGTACCAGGAGCTGCAATCGGCTTCCCTCGAGGAACCGGTTTAGTAATCGGTACAGGCGCTGGTTTTCTGATAACTGGGTTTGGAGCCGGCCCAACGACTTCAAACCAAAAAGCCCAGTTAGTGAAAACGCCCGAATCACATAATACTAGTACTTGTTGGTTAACAAATACGGGCATTAGCCTATACGATTAAACCCGGATTACATTATTATAATCTTACCGGGAAGAAGCTGGTTGAAACCAGTTGGACCCGAGCTTAACCGTGCGAGAACACCAAGAAGAGGGGCATTGTTGTAAGTGGCGGGTTCGGTCTGCTCGTAGTTGTCGCGTTGGTCGGCGAAGTTGTCGTAGGCGTCAGGGCCACCGACGAGGGCTCCGGTTAGGACGTTGGGATCACTGCTTTTGCGGCTGACCCACGTGGCATACCCGCCACGGCAGCTCACGAACGTTGAGTCCACTTTGTAGGATACGATGGACGATCCTCTGTGGTGCACTTGCTGAGGATAGTTTTCTCCGTAACCTACCATGTAACTCGTTGCTCTTGGGTTATCTCCCAAAATGTAGTCAATCTGCCAAAAAAAATTAAATATTTATTCTCGATACAGTATGGTTACAGATTACCAATTGATCCAATTGGGTTTGTATTTCTCTAATCAGTGGTGGCAAAAAATCTCGGTATCGTTTGGTTTCACGGATTTTTCGTTATAGTTCGACCTACATTGCGTTCTCGAAAGATAGGGGGTGAAAATGTGAAAAAGAAAAGAGTTAGAGGGAGGCAAACCTGAGATTTGGAGAAAGCAAGGAGGTCAGAAGCAAGAACGGTTCCGAGAGGGCAGCGGAAGTTTCTTGAGGAGGAAGAAAGGTAATCGGAGTAAACAGAGGCCAAGAAGGAAGCACTTGTTACGAACTGCATGTTGTTCCAACGTTGTCGGAAAATCAACCCTCCCTGCGTTCTCTGTACGTTCTTCGTGCTTTTCCCTAACAGCGAACACATGAATTCCTCCGCCTTTCGTTGGTACCTCTCGAACGCTTGCGTATGCATTCCACCTTTCCCTTGCATCAAAAACTGTATACAAACCGAACCAATATATATATATAAATCAATGAATCTATTGTAATGTTTTAAAAATACCTAAATTTGTAAAAACTATAAAAAAAATATATCAATATTTATGTGTTTATATGAAACATTTTGAAATAAAGACCAGATGGGTTTTGAGGAAAATACCTTAGAGACAAGGGTTTGAACGCCGGCGAACTTAACGTCCCATCCGAACTCAGTCATGGACCAGCCGGTTCCGCCCATGGAGTCGCCGTTGTTGGCGAGGTAGTCCAAGTAATATTGGTTATCACTCGCTTGGTATAACCAAGCAGCGGCCCATAATAGTTCATCCTGTTTTAATTCCAAAACATGTAGCGTGTGAATTGCAAACAACGTATCCAAGAAAAAGAGAAAAGGCATTGCAAGGAACAAATGCATAATGGAGGAGGAAGCGTTTGGGAAAACGCTGCGTTTCGTACGTTGTAGCCACTGACGGAGCGGTAGTACTTTTGAGCGACTGTGATGCTGCTGTCGTATTTGCCCCTGTATTTGTCCGCAAACTCGAACAGCTGCCACGTAAGAAGAGTTTGACTAATTAGCTAAAAATTAAAGTATTTTTGTACATTTATTAATCATCATTGCGTAATTTAATATCTTACATTTATTGCATATTTTAAAGCCAGTTTCGAAATATTATTTTTATTTTGAATCATAACATAACCGTTACACGCGTACTGTTATTTGACTCCAGCTCCGAAATTTTGAGTTTATAACGAAATATAATTTTAACATAAAAACAGTAACTAATATTACAGTATATGGTCGGTCTAGAAAATATAATGTATTATCATTTGAAAAATACACAAGATATTTTCTCTAATCCATAATATTAAAATCTGAAAAACTAAATGATCTCGGGAAATGAACCTGGTAGGCGTGGCGGAGGAGCTCGGCGGAGTAGGCGGGATCGGAGCGGCGGAAGACGATGGAAGCGGCGGCCATTGCGGCGGCGGTTTCACCGGCGAGATCCGACCCGGGATTATTCGGGTCGACCTTGTAGGCCCTACGGTCGGTAGTCATATCCTCTGGTCTTTGCCAACAATAATGGTCCGTGTTACCATCTCCAACCTACAAAATTTAAATTAAAAAAAAAATCAGAACATTATAATATTTTTTGTAACGTGTTTCGTATTTTGTAACGACGGTTGAATGATACGTATATGTGTATACCTCTCCGTAGAGGACGTTGGGTTCGGGATGGGCTTTGATGAAATAGTCGGTGCCCCACTTAACGGCGTCGATGACGTGGCCGAGTTCGCCGTTAAGTGCGAGTTGAGGACCGTATTCGATGACGCTCCATGACATCATCGTAACCGTGAACGCCATCGGTAATCCGAATTTCACGTTGTCTCCTGCGTCATAGTATCCTCCCACTAGATCCACCTGCTCATTTTTTTATATTTAATAATATATTTTGTAACCGTCAATTTTAATATTATTTAAAGACGTGTATATATATATATATATTATTTTTTTCCAACAAAATATATTTTTATGTTACAAAGTCTCTGAGAAGTGCGCCTAGACCATATCAAATGACTTTATTGGTCAAACCTTTTTTTGTTCATTTTCCACTTATAATAGAAATCAAAATCACAGAAAATTATAACGTATCTACGATGCTCTGATCATGAAAAATGATGAATTTAAACAGAATAAAAAATAATTAAAAAGAACGGAAGAGAAGGACTTACGCCACTGGCTTTGCCGTCGTTAAGACCGGAATGTGAACGCCAAGTGACCCTCTGGTCGGAAGGGAGGTGTCCTGATCTCTGAGCCTCGAAGAAGAGAACGCTCTTGCTCAGAGCTTCTCTGTAGTCGTGCCCTGAAACTGCGAAATCAACCAATCCAAGCAGAACAAGAAGAAAAAGAGCACCGAAACCCATCATGCGATATTTTCTCGAGAAAATTCCGATCCTTCTCTCTGTTATCTGAAGAAAGTTTGATCCTTTCGAAAAAAAATATCGAACAGAATGATGGGTCTTGCTCGAAATTTGTTGAACGCTTTTTGATCACCTGAAATTCAGAGTTGAATCAGGGAGAGAGAGAGAGAGAGGTTGGTGAAGAAGATGAGAAAGAGAGAGAGGTTTATATGGAAGAAGGTGACGGAAGGTACCGGGAGGGAAGAAAACAGCAGAGGCATTTAATTTCAAACTTATTTTATATGTATTTTTCGAATTTCAAATGAGATTTATTTAATTACTTTTTAATGTTTGGCTATGAAACTGTGTCGGCGGCGGTAAATACTCGATTTCTTTAACTGTTGTTTGATGTGAATACATGGTAATTTTTTGCATCTTCTGTGTTCGCACTATTCATTCATATTGGCTTATTGTGTTTCTTCTCCTTCTCTGTGTGAAATCAAACACGCGATATCTTTTTCTCATCAACAAAATATTTTTTGAATTCAAAATTTTTAATTGACATCAGTTGGCTATATGTTAAATTTTAAAGTAATTCGGATTAAGTTTGAATTGAAATTTTATTTTAAAAAATCATTTTTCGAAAAATCATTTTAGTTCACTTTTTTAGTTTTTTTTTTATATTTTTTTAAAATGGATTCAGATGAGATTAAATTCATTTTAAAACGAAATTTAAATCAGTTTCGGTTCATAACCCAACCAAAATATTTAATCGGTATCAAATTATCAATAACCATTTGTCTCGAATATTTTAAAGTTTCTGTTTTAAATGTATGGAAATTTTAACATTGATAACTTATTAGCATACTCGACGCCATTGTAATAAGTATTCAACTTGAGTACCCCATCAAAATACTGAACAGAATTAATATGACATGTTGTTTTTATTTCTTCTTAATGCAAAGGTGACACAGGACCTTATTATAAGAATAATAAATCGACAAAAAAAATACAAAATTACAAAATATGGGATAAATTAACAATAGTGACATTGATTTTGAATCATTTCCAATTTCTTACTCGACAATATTTAAAAGATATTGTACTCCACCACTTGCGGAAGCTCCGAATCTTCCATGCAACTAAACTAGTTCCATGTATAATTAATGTGTTCTTTTGGAATAATATATAACTCTTAAGTTAATTTTTAATTTAATTTTTTTTCACAAGCAGAAAAAATAAAAGGGAGAAGCGACAAAATAAAATGCTGTCAAAAGGGGAGTTCCACAGCCTGCCTAGTTGTTAGTGATAATTCCCTTCTACCAAGTGGTTGTGGGTTCGAAATTCAGGTATGGAAACTTTTCTTGAGCCGGTCAGCTTTAGAGAGTGGTTTACCTGCTCTGCGTAGTTTGTCGGCTACTGCGCAGGACGGTGAGTTTTTTCAGATCCGTGATGTTGTTCTGATGCCGTTTTCGTCTGGTCCATGGATTGAGAAGCGTTGCGGTGTACAGTGTCCGACCCGAATGATTGTAGGATAGGGATTCTGGTCGTAAAAATAAAAATGCTGTCAAAAGTGAGGGAGACATTATATAAATGCGTCCCCAACTGCAATCAACGGTCTGCCGGAAAAAGAGGTTGCGAGTTTTTAAGCCACAGTTTATAAAATTCCAAATATTATTTCAATCGAAATTTAATTCACCTAAAATTCGGAATCACTCTTCATTTATATACAATTAATTTTTAAAAATTTACGAGTAATATCTAAAATTAAGTTCACTCTGAATCTTTTTGTGTTTGGTTGGTTCGATTTGCACTATTGTTGTTATTGTGATTGACGCCGAATTTTATGAAACCAGCTTAGGAAAGAAAAATATAATGCTGATTGACCTTGGGCATTTTTATTTGAGCTGATTTTCACACGTGCGTAAATAAAAGGGATATGTACAGCAGGACTTACTTATATTATCGCACGTGCGGAAGATGGAAGTGTCTATTCAGTAAGGCTATACTCCATAGATCTGGTCCGGATTTCTCGGGTTTTTTTATTTAGTCAAGATTTTTGTCACAATTTGAATTTGAATGTGAGCGTATTATAATATGAATAACTCCCCCCCCCCCCCTTTTTATTTATAAGTATCTCCTGATAATGTGTTGGAAATTAAAATGAGACAAGAATCTTGTATCAGAAAGATAAATATACACATAACATATATGAGATGGCATAAGATATAACGAATTAATTACATATCAGAGATGGCATGTCACAGTCTAAAAAAAATCAAGATATATTTACTTACACAGCGAATCACAACATGCAGTTATCAGTTATGTGAACCTCGCAATATCTTCCGAGATATATGTGAATCTATTATTGGTTTATTTATATTTAATATATTTGTGTGTATGCATATTGATATTTAGAACGGAAATAGAAAAAATAACGTCTCATTATACCCTTCTATAACGATGTAACCTGTCCTCGAACCTTCGGATCAGACTCCGCAACGTTTTACAATCCAGAAAGCTGGACGAATGACACGGTATCGTAGACAGTAAATCCAATTACTCAACGCAACCATTTACCAAAAAAAAATAGAAAAAATAAAAAAAATATATTAGGAGGGATAATAAGGGTCAGGGGCATGTGAAGGCATGTGCGTGCCGACATAAAAGCTGGGGCCCACCACGTGATCCATCATTTGACCTCTCGTGCATTAGAGTAGAGCCCAACCGCTGTTTCTTCGAAGCGGCCCATTCCTACCTCCGCACGTGAGACCACGTGACGTAAATCTTCGTTTCCTCTTTTTTAAAAACATATATAATGACATTGCATACGATTTTATTTTTTTTTGGGTATAACATTGCATACGATTTTGGATCACACTCCATGCAAATCTAGAGAATTTGCAAAATGTTTATCTCGGCAATAGATTTTTTTCCCAAAAACGTTATATATATATAGGACATTTTTAAAAATGGGACTTTAAATAATATAATTTTAATGAGGTATAATCGATTTACAAAATTCTTGGAACTGGATATCGTGTCAATAAGACGTACCGAAACAATTTAGTTAAAATAGTAAGTATTTGAAACATTTTCATTTGAAGCCCACGAGACTCAGTTGTTAGCCCAAATAAGTTTTAATAGTGATATATTTGGGCCTATTGGCCCAATTGTTGTTTCAAATTTCATAATTATGCGTTCCATCATTGTTATTGTACTTTATTACAATTTAGTCACTTCCCTTCAATTTTCTTGCCCTTTCGCTATTTTAAAGGGGTTTTGTTGTGTTTTCTGATTTTTAAGAATTCGAGATATTACATCAAATGACTGTGAAATGTATTACCGTTGAGATTTTTATTAGCTTAGATATAATTTTTTTTATTACTTTAGATATAAATTTATATCTTTTAATACTTTTTTTGGAGTCGGGAATAATTTTAATATTATGAGCATCCGACTAAATTTTTTTTTTTTTAAAAAGAGAATCGATAGATTTCGTGAGGAAAAAAAAAAAAGATAAAGGCTAAAACTTTCTAAACCCATGATTAGACGATCTCACGTGCGATTCCACCGTTCCACGTGCCTTCTTCTCACTTTTCCGTTGCGTTGAATTTTTGAGTTTTAAATAATAAAGAAAAATAATTTTACGCACAAATATTCCCACGTGGACATCGCTCTCTCTTTCGTTCACCATTTCTGGCGCTTCACTCGATAAACAAAAAAACCTTAGAAGAGAAAAAAAGCTCTCTAGATTTTCTCGCATTTTCTCGTCTCCCAAACAAAGCCTCCACGAAAGCTCGATTTGTACTCGTCTCCTGGTCTTCACGCTCTCAAACCACACCAATTTCGCTTCCAAAGTCACCGCTGCAAAATGTCGCGTCTCTCCGTCTCCATTTGCCTCTCCTTTTGTTTTCTTACTCCCTTTGTCTTTTCCTCTTCCTCGGCCGAACCGGAAACATGCTCCGGGATTGTTCCGGTGAGGTACCGGAACGATAAGATCTCAATAACGGATTTCGGCGGCGTCGGAGACGGTCGGACGGTGAACACGAAGGCGTTCCGGGCGGCGATTTACCGGATTCAGCATCTCCGGAGGAGAGGTGGTACTCTTCTCTATATACCTCCCGGTGTCTATCTCACTGAGAGCTTCAATCTGACCAGTCACATGACTCTCTACCTGGCTAGAGGCGCCGTAATCAGAGCCGTTCAGGTAAGCTTTTCATCCGATTTTGAATTCGAACTCTGTGTTCTTTTGATTCGATTTGGTTGAGATGAGAACGTTAATTCAAATTTGCCGGAATTGACAGAGGTCCCGAACTTTGGTTTCCATTGTTTTTTTTTTAACACTAATCGGCACCAAAATTGTTTGGGTGGTCCATGGGTATAACTTTGCTCCGTCTTATCGGAGTTTGTAGAGGCGTAAATTAGTATGATATGCTTCATCAATGGGTTTTATCTGGGTTTTAGGATCGAGTCTCGTAACGTAGATATATCGACATTTCTTTTTCCAATAATCAAATGGTCACCATTGATTGTTCTTCAGTGTCATAGGAATTAGTGGTTAAGTTCTGAAAAATGAATTATTGAGTCACTAATGCATTTTGATGAGATCGACACTCATCACTGTCGTCGTCTTGAGTTTTAGATAAATGAATTCGGAGCCATGCAGCGTATGGTGTTGTGACTGAAGGTAGGTCCACGCATCATGGGCTATGGGCTAAATTTCTGATGGGACATTGCATGTGATGTGCTTTTATGTTTATTTATGTCACAACGGACCAAAATCGGTGGTATCCAAAGATAGCTGGCAAATGTTTGTCATTCACATTATCCAATGTTGTCAACATCAGTCTATTATATATTTGACTTAGTACGAATAAAACAGCGAGACTAGTTGATTAATGTGGCCAGGGTGTGGACAAGAATCATTTTTTAATGGTAATCTCGATTATTACGGGACAAAACAGAGATTGATATCGTGTCTTTTTTCTGTGTTTGCTACATTTAACCTCGTGACGTATTTACATGCAAAATTTCGAGATTTTTGTAATAAGAGTCTGTCATTGCTTGCCTTATTGTAATTACCATTCCATTTTACGCCTAATGACTTGTACCAGAATGGTTATATACTGTACTCGTACATAGTTGTGCACTAAGACACTATCCCGGTCTTTTCTTTTAATCCAAATTCGGAAATCTATGTTTCGATCACAGAAACTAGTAGCTAACTGATTTTTTTCACCTTTTTGTTGTTGTTGTTGTTTGTTAAGGATACATTGAATTGGCCATTGATTGCGCCTCTGCCATCTTATGGAAGAGGGAGGGAGTTGCCTGGAGGAAGATACATGAGCTTCATTCATGGAGATGGGCTTCGTGATGTGGTCATCACCGGTGAGTTTAAACCTTATCCCCATTTTACTAGCCTCCCCTGTTTCAACCATTACTGTTTGAACATAATTCTATTTGGGTACTATGATAAGTACTAAAAGAGAGTTTTTTTTTATGCGGTTCTTGATCTTTGTCTTGGTCATGTGTTTGCCCTGATTCAGAATGCGATTCCATGGTTTTGACATTTATATTACCGTGCTTTAAAAGGGGAAAATGGGACAATCGATGGCCAAGGAGAAGTCTGGTGGAACATGTGGTGGCGAAGAACGCTCAAGTTCACGAGGCCAAATCTTGTTGAGTTCTTGAACTCCAAGGGAATCGTTATCTCTAACGTCATTTTCCAGAATTCTCCCTTTTGGAATATCCACCCTGTCTATTGCAGGTAACTTATAATCCGAAGTTTTAGACTGAAACCACCATATATATATCTTTTTCCTCTTCTCCCGACAAAATATGTTGTTTTGAACTAAAGATTTAGAATTGTGTAAGAGTTATACTCCGGACAGTGTTTGATCTCTGGTAACGTCTTTGTTGCAGTAACGTAGTCATCCATCACGTTACCATCTTGGCTCCACCGGACTCCCCCAACACCGATGGAATTGATCCAGGTTTTACCTTCTTTACACTCTTCGATTTCGTAGCATGGAAGAATGTCATGGAGTTGTCACAATTTTCTTTGATCCATGTAGGGACTTTGAACTTGGTACTAATGAAAACTGAACCCTGTTTCTTTGCCCTAGACTCGAGCTCCAACGTTTGCATAGAAGACTCCTATATCTCAACTGGAGACGATCTAGTCGCCGTGAAAAGTGGATGGGACGAGTACGGGATCGCCTTTGGCCGTCCTAGCTCAAACATAACTATCCGACGCATAACGGGATCATCCCCATTTGCCGGAATCGCCATAGGAAGCGAAACCTCGGGCGGAATCAAAAACATCTTGGCCCAACACATCACTCTCTCGAACATGGGGGTAGGTGTCAACATCAAGACAAACATCGGCCGAGGAGGTTTCATACAAAACATCAGAATCTCCGATGTATACGTAGAAAATGCTCGTTATGGGATCAAGATCGCTGGCGATACGGGCGATCACCCCGACGGGAACTATAACCCGAATGCTCTCCCTATCGTGAAGGGCATAAAGATCAATAACGTCTGGGGAGTGAACGTTCTAAACGCCGGTTCTATCAGAGGCCTCAAGGGTTCACCATTTACAGGTAATTTTTCCTTTTACCAAGCACCAATCCATGTTTCTTCACTGAACATTTCGACCACTCGATCAAATTAACAGAAATGAGATTATCAAATTTTGTGAAAACATTCATATGAGAAGTTCAAATTATGTTGTGGAAAAACTAAATGGATGGAGATTAGATTTGGTGTATAATGAATTGTGGTAACGTGGTTGTAGCAAACAAACTTTGTGGCAGGGATCTGTCTGAGTGAGATTAACCTCCACGGAAGATGGAACTCGTATCCGACGTGGAAGTGTTCCGATGTTATTGGAACTTCACTTAAGGTCAGTCCGTGGCCTTGTTCGGAGCTGAGAAGCACCGGGAAAGCCAGTTCTTGTTTGTCCGAATTCTAGAACTTTCGTTCCACGTTGTAAGTGTTCAATTTTTCGAATCATATTTTACTCGCTGTGAGAAAAAAAAAAACCCCCCGTCCATATGTTATGTATTTATCTATAGCTTGCGCATATCGTTGTAAGCACTATCACACACGAGTGCACGACGTGTACGAACAATGAGACCGGACCCAAGTCCAAATTCCATTTATTTATGTTGTAACCTATGTTGGTCCAAATTCCATTTATTTATTTTGGGCCTATGAACTTGTTTCTCATCTTGAATTATTAGGACCCATACGTAAATACTGTATAAATGACACATCAATTGTATAAATACACAACTTTTATATTTATGTTTCGGAGATTTATGATGATTGAGGAAGGAAAAGAAAAAAGCTAACATCACAAATTGGTGAAAGAAAGGAATGGTCACCCCACGTGCCGGACAGCTGTCACTGCCGCAGACCTGTACAATCTACTTTTATCACGGACCAACGAAACAATGACACGTCATTATGATTCCGTAGAACCACACACGGTCCCCCTCTTCTCGTTCAGATTTTCGACACGTGTACTTAAACGAGAATATTTTTGAATTCCAGGCTGATAATTGCAGGTTCATACTTATGCATTCACTCGTCATGAATTCAAGAAAAATATAATTTCAAAAAATGTTTCTGAAGAAGTATAATATTATGTTCTATAAAACAATTTTAATTTCTAGTATAAACAAAAACATATACGCCGAACCAATCATTTGAAAAATATTATAATAGTTGTATTGACATTTTCAAATCTAAAATTGTTGGAATATTTATATAATATTTTAGATCTAAAATTTAATTGGATTATTATACTGCAACCTATTATCCGGAAAACACGGTGTATTTTCTATAGCTAGAGTCACAATGTCAAAGTGCAGATATATAATAAGAACATCCAAGTGATTGTATGATATTATAGATATTGTTTACATATTATTACTTGTATATACAATGAAAAATGTTATACTATTGTTTTATTATTTACTGACCAAAATGGTCAAAATTGTTTTAGTGAGAATGGGGGTGTAATAGAAGTCAACACAATAATGAAAATGTTAATGATATATCCAATATGTCATGGCCGAGTGGTCAAACTTTGGGTATAAGATAACTCTACGTTGAGATTGAGTGTTAGATTCCTATCTGGTAGAGATGGAGATAATTTTTGGGTCTATATAGTCCATATACAAAGATTGCTTTCGGGCCGGATGTTTATTTAGTCAGAACGCCCGAAGAATAGTAGTTAGGGATCAGCCGTTATAAAAAAAATGATAATGATATCATATAACTATAATAATTTGACTAATTCACTAATGACATGTGTAATTACCATGTTCTCTTTGACCAACCTATATGTGAAACTACATCTTTGACTTCCGAAATTAGACCGAACACACACGTATCGACACATCCACGCATGTATTTTTTTTAGTACATTATTGAATAATTTATTTTTCACATAACATAATATTATCACATTAAATGTTCAAACATAAAGTTCGGTCATGGTCAAACCCTTTTACTGAAATAAATCAGAGATTCATGTCGTGTATAGCAAAAATGTTCAAGTATAACTACATATATGGACACCCATATACTTAATTTAGAAATTAAAATTTCTAAGATATCTATCTATCTAATGAGTTGGTCTAAACCATGTTTGATAACTATGATTTATTTTTTGTAACCGGGTGTCTATATATATATAGACGTCCGGACTAATATCAGAATAAAGAATAAGCAATATGATTAGACTATAGTTAACTATGATTAAAAGACTCAAAAAGAGGTTTCATGTCAATGTCTTGGACGAATAAAAAACAATAATATATATATATAAAATATTGCCTTTGTCTGATTTTATTATATGAATAATTAGGTCGAATATATATGCCAAAACCCTATAGAGATTTTAACATAAGTCGTATAATTTGGACTTACTGATTGTAGATATTTATTTACATGAGCGGTATATTTGCTCATCCTTTATTGCTATTAATCTCTTGATTTCTCCTATATATATAAGCATGTGTATATGACACACTAAAAAGTGCAAACTTCGAAGAAAAAAAAAACACAGACACACCACAAAAAAAAATGGGAAGTTCCGAAAAAAACCTCTATTTTGTGTTCATGAATTACGATCCAGAGTACAATCGTCTTCGGCTTGAACGGTATAATGCCTATATATATATATATATATATGCATATACTTATGCACATCGATCACATCAGTGTATGAAATGTTTCATGTGTATATATTGATGAATTGTTTGATATATGTGTGTGTATATAATGAAAGTATAGGACGATGAGAGGGAGGAAGAGTGAAGAGTTGGATATGTATCTGAGTAGGAAGCACGAAGAAGTTCTGTCGAGGAATCTGGAGCCTGGCTCCTACACCAAGACTCTGTCTCTTCTCATCGTTGATGGCTTTGCTGTTGAGATCACCGAAGACCAGGTTTTATATATATATACTTACATCTATATATTTACACTTACATATATGCATATGTGTGTGTGTATATGAGCATTCACGACAGTTGTATGTATGTATGTCACTGTATGTGTAAGTATATATGCTTGTATATGTCCATGTCATCCACAAAAAATTTGCATCATGTGGAATATATGAAGCTTGTAATTTATGTGCTCGGAGTTATACATTGAACATACGCATATATACCTGCATGTGCACCCCGGTTGAATTAATGCATGTATGCAGGTATATGTGCACGTGTATATATACACACACACACACACACACTCACACTGTATGTATACATCATACATGCATGCTTGGTGCATGGATTCAATGTGAACGCTATTAAAATTGCATACATTAATGAATGCGATTTTTCCCTATAAAGCATGCATTCACGAACAGATCTAACACCGTAAAATCTCTATAAAACGGTAAAAAAAAAAAATTTCACCATTTTCATCTATTTCGATTTTAGATTTATATCTTTTAAAACGGATGGATTTCATTTTGATTTTATTTTCTTCTTCAGGCCAATGTGTTAAGATCTGCCGAAGGGGTCCGTTTGGTGGAGAAGAACCAAGAAGTCGCTTAAACACTTTTTAATTAATTGATTATCATTTTTAACTAAAATCATTAGACTATAATTAAAAGTTGTATTTTATGATTCCTACATGGATTTCTGGTTATCCTTCATGGAAACACGCAAACAAATTATAATTTTTTTTTATCAAAATAAATTAAGCAAGCTGTGCCAAGAAAATATAGAGTTATGTATCAAAATTAACCTATGTGTATGCCTTGGCATGTATAAACCTCGAGATACAGTCATTGTAGATCACGTTATTTGCTTTAATTTGATTAATTTAATACGAAAATATGGTAAAATGGGGTGTTAAAAAAGGAAAACCAGAAATACATACTCATGATTATGTGTGAATTAAGGGGGATCATATATTATATTATAAATTATTTTATTATATATATTGTGAATGTGTTCATAACTTGATAAGAAGCTTGGAGTTATTGGTAAAATACAATCTTATACACGGAAACGAAACTTAAGTATGATGTATTACATAGTCATTTTTATTATATATATAATTTTTTTTATAACTTTATAGCAAATAACCATTATGTAGCTTCATTCCAAGCTTCTCTGCAGATCCCATTGTTCAGCTTCAGCAACTCTGTCCAACAATAAAATAAAGAATTATTATAATATATGTTATCCATAGCATATGAAACGCTATCTATAGTCACATATGAAAAAGTAGTAATTCATTGTTTATATATCAATTGAATTTCGTATATAATATTCAATATAAATTAAGCTTTTTATTCTAGAAAATATTGTAAAATGATGCAAATTAGTGATTAAAAATCAGAACAACTTAATGGCAAGGACGAATAAAAGACCAATCCAACACAAAACAAGACATAAATTGTTCAAATTAGATGATATTATCCAGTAACAAAAAAAGAAATCTCTGTCTAATTTTTTTTTTAAAAATTCAGATTTTTTATTGTAAGTTGAATAATTAACATATTACTACCGGGATAAAAAAAATTAAAAATAGTAAAGAATAAAAAAATTACCTTCCTTGGGCCACCGTGTTCGTTGTCACTCTCGCTGTCGCTGCTACTGCTGCTGCTGTCGCTGCCCGTGGCGTGGTCCGGGGGA